GACACGGAGCGACGAGAAAAGAACGGTGTACCTTTCTACGAAACCGCAGAGAGGCTCGAGCGCCGCAAACTTTCGACCTTTTCGCGGTAGGACTCGCGGAGAGACTCGAAACACACACGGATATGCAGATTCTAGAGTTATTCCGGAGCTCTCGATGATGAGAATTAAGCGTGTTAACTCTCTTGTTATTCTCTTTGTATTTTCTCTGCCGTGTTTACTCGAGAGTAAACCGCGATTATTTTTCGGAGTAGTATCCGGGAGATACACGACTCGACGATCGTATTCAAATTTTCGCGCAAATATCTTTGAGGTTTTCGCATTCGCGACACGTCCCGGAAACTGTTCTCTCTCCCTTAAGCCGGCGCAAGCACTGTCACACGCGTACGTCTCCCACGTACAATGTTTACCGACTTGCGAGGAAAGTATTGATTCCGTCGCGTAATATTGTACTTTCGAAAGATATCTCGACGGCGCAGTTTAACAGCGCACGAACAATCTTCGAAAAAGATTTCAACTTTGAAAAGAGGGAAAGAGAGAATGCGCCCGATAAATGTCTACCCAAGTGTTCGAATTATTCGGGCGATATAGCGAATGTCACGAGACATCTCGAGGAAAAGTTGGCGAGCGGAACTAAGCCAGCTTATGGCTTTCGCTTTTGGCAACGAAAAATGCGCCAATTGCAAAAAAAAAAGTAGACAGCAATGACCCTGAAAATTTTTCTTTCCCCGAGAACTTAAAATAAACTCGCGCATACATTTTATATTGATATATTATATATAAATATATTCTCGTATAAATTATAAAATATTTTCTTACGCGAGGAATAAGTATTACGTCTCGATCAAGTAGACAGCTCATAAATATATTTCGGGAACGATCTGTAGCGAAATGGCAGGTACGTAATAACGTTTCCATTCGACTCTTCGTCGAAAAGGTTCGATTTTTCAATCGACTGTTTGATTAATGACAAACGATCAGAATTGATATTGATATCTCGTGGCCGAAAAAATTGATATCTCACGTGAGAAGTTGTTGTCCTGGATGACAGCTACGACAGAAGATTAATGCGTTGTTGTACGGTCGATCAATTGAATAAAATATGTAATAACAATATCATAATCATTCTCGAGGTATTTTGCATCAAAAGTATCGTTATACGTGAAGAATGAAGAGCTTTTTAGAGATCGGCCGAGCTTTTGCAGGCAATTGTAATCGCGCATGACAAGACTCGACATCCTCCGGACCAAGTGACGGATCGGAAGGTAAGAGAGAAGCAAGAGAATGGAACTCTTTGTTGTTGCATGCGAAAACTTTGGAAAGTACGGACGGCATATTAAGCTTCGCTTTGCTGATCGCGAAGCCGTCTGTCCGGAACCGCCGGATGAGCTTGAAAAATGAGCGTTTAACGAGCTCACCGTCGTCGACGCCATTGCTATTTGTCCAAGAAGGAATCCTTCGCCAAACCGTTTCAGAATTCCGCCACGGGGCGAAGACTCGGAAAGATAAACGACGACGGTTTGTCATTGGAGGCGCGTCGAGGCTCTTTGCCGTCCGAACGAACGATCCGAGGAACGTCAAAGAGACGTCCTAATCCGTCAGACGTCTTCCGTCGCGTCTTTTGGATACCTCGTGGATTTTTTCCCGCTCTGCTTGGCTACGTGATCGTTGAACAAACGGATGATTCGTCTAAAAAACCTGATGATCTACGACATGTCACTCGCGACACTACTTTTCTCGTGTCATAACATTTTTCTCTAAAAGATACCGGAATTAACGAGATACTTGAGAGGATTGGAAAATTTTCTCTTTTAATATTTAAATATTTTTTTTTTTAATTCTAAACACTAGTGAATGTGGTTGTTTGTGTGATAATAGTTTTTAATTATTGATTTATTTTCGATAATTACAGATGGCATTCTCTTACGGACAGGATTATTAAAGTTTAATATATTTATACACAGCCCCCCCAAAAGATTATTAGTCTGGTAAAGATCAATCGGTATTCGTCCCTATTGTTAATTTGCGACCACGACGATTATTATACGGTAGAAATATTCCCCGGGATATTAATTCCGCACAAAGTCCGCGTCTCCTTTGTCCCGAAAAATTAGTGCGTTTCATCCCCAAGGACATCGTAATGAGCTAACAGCGATATCCGATGACGAGCTTCTTCTCTTGATTACTGTCCGGGTTCATACAATTTAAAGAAAAAAAATATATAAAAATAAAAAGGTAAATGAAAAATAATATGAGAAAAAAATATAATATGTGTTATCAGAAATAATATATATTCAGACGTATATCTCTAATTAAAAAAAAATAGAATTAATATAAAATATACTAAACGAAAGAGAGATATAATCTCTTATTCATACAAGAAGAAGCGTTTTAATTTTAAATGTAAAAATTATTTTTAAAAATGTTAATTTTATTTTTAAAATGTTTATTTTATTAAAAAAATTTCTTTTCTATTTTTTTTAATACTTCAATGTATTATTTAAACCTGCAAATTGAAAAACAAAAACGCGTTACATGATTATCTTTCATATATCGAGCGATCAAAATTTAAGAGTAATTCGTAAGATATCTTTTATATCCCAGACACAATCCGTTCGGTAGCGATTTCTTTCATCACGATGATGAAACTAGCTGCGTTTCATCGTCGAGTGATAGCTGAATCGACTGATTGACTCGGCTCTTCTTTCCTCCTCCTCCTCCTCTCTCGTTGCGTTACGCCCCGGTAACGAAGGCTCTGTCGTGTTTCCACACTAATTAACAATCCGTGATTACGATCCAGGACCGACCGCATTGCGTCAGTGCTTAGATTGCCTCGCGACTTCGCTCGTCCAACCCTCTGTTTGCATCCTGCACCCTCCTCCACCCTCGATGACACTGTGCCTAATTAAATGCTTGGTTATCGGCACGTAGGAGGCATCGAGGTTACCGTAGGATGGTCCCGGTGGAACATGATATAACCGGTGACCCGGAAAAGCACGATGTACCCAAACTCCGAGCGTTATCGATGGTATTGTTGTCGGTTTGTTCACCGCGAACGAAAGAGATAATTAACGCGCGCTAATAATGATGACTGATTTTTGACGTATATTTTCCTCGAGGCGACGATGCGAGTCACAATATATATGTATGTGTATAGGCAAGTATGATATAATAGCAACTGATAATGGCTGGAGCGCCTTTATCAGGCTTTGAAATTTTCCTCCCTTCACGCTTTGTCGCTCTTTCCCACGATCGATGGCCATTATATCGAGATATGTCCATATTTATCGCTTAAATATTACAAAATATATATGAAGAAAATATTTTATGATACAAATTACACGAAAAATATATTCCCTTTCATAACATTTTTATTATAAAATATAACGACACACTAGGATATTAATCATTTATAAAAAAAAGTAAATTATGGATTTGTTTGTGGACGAAAATATTTGAATAATTACAATATTTTTGATAAAATATAATATTGAATAAAAATATGGTAATTTCTTTTATATTTTAATATGTTCCACAGATTAAAAAATTGTATTGAATTTTTTACGAGGACATTTTCTTCCTGCAGAAGGAAAGAATCGTGATCTTTTTCTTCGTCGAGAAATCTCTGCAATTCAACCTTCTATAAATATTTACAGGGTTTCAATCTCCCTGATTTGAAAAATTCATGGTAAATAACATACATATATGTATCAGATAAGCTTTCATAACACAGATAAATGTTACTTCTTTTCTCTCGCACGATTGCGGGGAGATTTTTTCCCTGGAATAACCGTTGAAGTACAAGTATATTTTTTTTCGCTCGACGGCAAAGGGCCTATCCGTGGACGAGCCGAGTAAGGATTAATGTGCCATGGCTGGATAATCGATTTTTCACGATGAACTCATAACGAGCGTCCTGTACACACTACGCCAGGAAAAGTAGGATTCGTCCAACGAACGTAACAAAGTTTGCTAAATCATCGCTGCGTTCCTCGTTGTTTCATCAACCCTGTCGATCTCAAAGCGTATCACCCTGAGCTGCGGCGACTTCGATAAACTGACCCAGAAATCGTCGACCGAAGAAAACTTTGTTGGGCGAACGTTTGCATACATTGTGAGCACATTGCTCTCGGAAAGTTTTAATTAATATTTTTTAGAGAAAGAGAGAGAGAGAGAGAGAGAGAGAGAGAGAGAGATATATGTAGAGAAAATACTGAAACATATACACTTGAAAAACGTGAGAGACGTGATTCTTTTAAAGAGAATGAGAGATAGAAGTATACAAAGATAGAGCATACAAAGTTTATAAAAATGCAAACATGTTTCTCGCACAAAGAACACTCGCGGCAGAAAAAATGCATTTTATAACGTGAATCACGCGAAGGACAGACGCAAAAGAGAATTCTGAATCGTCCTATATTTACCTTTAATTTTAATTTAAGCAACGCGATGTTATTACGGGACGCGACCCACTGTTTTTTTTAATTAAAAACTGACTTTTTAACATCCCTTCAGAAAATAGAGTTTACGCCAACAGCGTAAAATTATCGGAGCATTTATCGGTTATCGTTTACGAAAGTGGAACACGTGTAGATATTATATAATAATATAAAGAAGGGAATGTGGGGATGGTGTAAAGTTTGCTGCTATCGATACTAATGATTTATGTCAACTCGAGATAAAAAAAGGATAAATGAAATGAGTAAAAATATAATTTATTAAATGTAATTGAGAGAAAAAAATCTCTTTAGATCTCTTAAATCTCCTATTATAAAAAAGGATTTCTTAAAATCTCCTATTATTTCATTTCGTTTATTTCATCGATAGTAATCGCGAAACCGTATCGGAGAAATCGGAGGACAAGCGTTCGACAATAAACCAGCTTGTTTTACAAGAGCGAATTGCGCGCATCGCGACGAGATTTCTCTCTCGGAAGTGATCCTCGCGTTTTGTTTATAGAAGAAGGATAATCTCTATAGAATCGAACGTTTTGTTTGTTCCAGAGGTGACGATGTGCAACGATCGATCGAGCTGTTGGACAAGGTACTCTCAGAGTACGACGAGCACGTTGAGGTGGAGGGCGAAGGTGGCGGAGACAGCGGCGGGGGAGGCGGAAGTGGCGGTGGAGGAGGCGGCGGGAACGGAAGCGCCGGGGGAGGCGTCGGGGATTGCGGCAGCAGCACGGAACCGAGTATTGGCCTCACGCCCGACGACGAGAGTCCGTCTTTAGGTAACGTTCTTTTTCCCCGTTTATCGTTCCGTCTTAGCTTCTATTTCCTCACGGGCCCTCTGCAAACGTCGTTCTCGTATTTGCCGAGAGCGATTAACCACGGCACGATTCACACGAAGGGAGGACCCCTCCCCTTCCTCTCTAATGTTTCATTATTTATTTTCTTTCTTCGCGCAAAAAGCGTCGAGGTGGAAGCGAAGGAAATCATTTCTGTCAAAGCACGATCGCGTCAACGCAATTAAAAAAGTCGCAAGCATCGCATATATTTTATATTTTGTATATTATTTATTTTTACATTTTATAATATGCTTTAAACGCACGCACCCAGTCTGGAATTTAAAAGCCTTTGAGCGTGAAATCTTTTATATCTGTGCGCGACAATTGAGCTTTCATCACTCATGGTAGATATTTGCATCTTTCGTATTTTCGATCGTCCAAAGACAATCTTGCATGGAATTTCAGAATTTTGCGGTCCACGAAGACCGCAGAATCCCACGAGGCTCACATAGCGTTGCTATCATATACGTACATAAGACTTCAAATCCTATGATCCCGATTATAATAGAGAGCGGGTGGTAAGTTATTAATGCGATCTAATATAGATTCATTATTCCATTCCGAGATGAATCCTCGGAGGAAAAATCAAAGTTATCCGAAGTAATATAATTCCCAATTTTTAATACGATTACAAATTACGCGCAAATGAATGTTAAATTCGCGAGGTATGCACGAATAAACTCATGTGAAATATAGCAAAAGTTCGTTATAAAGACAAAGTGGGAAAATTTAAACATTATATTAACATGACGCAAGGTCTGCGATTGGTTTATTTCACACGAGCACGCAGTTTCCCACGCAGTTTCCTTTATGGCTCTTTCGTTCGCGAGAGCTATTGAGAAATATCGCATAAATTTTCAACCTCCCTCGTTCCTTCCGCGTGATTTTGCACGATGTCGAGCGAACACTTTTGCAGCAGAATTGTCCGATGATGTCTGATCGCCGCAAAAATCGATTTCACCTCTAGTAGTCGAGTAACACGCGCCGACGAGCTGACAGACCGCTGACAGGATCCGTCAATTTTTTTTCTCGTCGAATATATACATATATATTCATCGCTGAACGCATGAATAGTGTGTGAAAAATCCTTCGAATGAACTAGTCGAAAAGCGTGGAGAAAACGCTCGTATTCGATACACAACGCATTTTTCATGCATTTGCGCGGATTCCAGCGATTTCACGATTTTCGTGAAAATTGCAAGCTTTTGTATCAATCCAGCCAGCAAGTTACCGTCGAATCGACACTGCGGTAATTACATTTATTTATTTATCATCTTGGTAATTAATAATTAAGCACATCGATGTAAAATGGCGATAAACATCGCTCGTTACCGCTTACTGATAATAACTATGAACAATGCAATCGAATAGAATGCCATTATCGCAATCGAATCGTAAATGGTCCATTATCGCGAATAAAATATTAAATCTCGATGTGTAAAACAAATATCGCGCTCTCCGTTGTACGACTGAAAATCCATCGTTTTTACACGAAACACGGAAATCTTTGGGAATCGCGACACGTGATGGCTCCGCCGACAAATTTTCACCGCGGAAGCATCCACTTCGAACTTGCGGAAGAAGCGACACCCGCTTTATATCGACAGGGCGAAGATAGTAAATTTCCAGTGACAACCGAGTACGCCTCTTTCTAAAACTTCGCACGCTATTTCCGCCTCTCTAAAGATATCTGGCTCGCATTTGAAGCACAAAGTTCTATGCCGACGCGAGTTGTGTCACGGAAAGTCGTTCGGAGCGCGTGCGATCGTTTGTGTGCGTGTGTTTTGTGCAATTTAACTCGTCACCCTTAACTAAGATATTTAACTTTCTTGCACTTCCCCGTACATGTTGAACTGGGAGCAAACTTGCACGATGGACTCGTAATTCTAAGGATCGATCCAATATTTGAGCGATGCGCAAAAAAAGGAAGAAATTAATCTAATTATTTTTAATCATTTTTTTTTAATTTACGCATATTTCCTTGGATTATTTCCTATTCTTTATATCCTTAATTTTTTTACTTATTTTAATTTATTTTTTATTTATTTTTTATAAATCATATACGAGTATATGTTTTTTTTTTCTTTTTTTACGCCTTCAAATGATTCAAATAATTCGTTGAATCAGCAATTATCCCCAGGATTTTGAAGACTCCGAATCGTATTTTTATAGATGTCTGAGATTTCGAAAATCGAATGATGTCTTTAAATGTAAAAGAACAGAGTTATAAATAGATGAAATGAAACGCATTTTGCGGACAACGAGAGTAAGATTATCGTCGGACGTGTTATTGGACAGTGGATTGTTCGAATCCTCGGCCGTCATTCTCTCTCGGCTTTTGGAGGGTGCATATTTTCTCTTTATTACCCTTTCGCGCTTCTGCGGACGTACAACATAAACCTGCCGAGTTGGCGGTCTGCCATTCAATTCGCGGAAAATCGGCATGAAAGCACGTAACATTTCCCAGAGAGGATGAGGGCAGGAACCGGGCAGGCCTGTCTCGTATACGGTTCATCGAAAATTCAAATCGACATCCTATTGGCATCCCTGCACCCGTACACCTTTACGAGCGATCGCGGCTGATTAACGAGAGATTCCTCAGGGAAAATCCACGTCTTATTGCAATAACGTTAAAGTAGAAGAGTACAGAATTTTTATGAGGAGTACAGAAATGTTACCAGCCACCGATCCAACCGGTTCTTTCGAAAGAATAAGAATATCGCGCAAATCTGGGATATTGCGATACAGATCGATTTCCGAGGCGCTTTTAAGAAAGTTTCTGAAATATCACCGATAGTTTACTGCACGGTAATGTTTACGTATTTCCAGGATTGCAAAGCGCGAAGGTAATGCAATTCCTTCTCCCTTTGAGAACTGTTCGAAAAGAGTCGTAATAGAAATAGTCGCCGACGTTTAGGATAAACAGGACGTTCGGTGGGATTAAGTCGTTCCGACGTCTCGGGTCTTTCGTCTCGAGAAACTCACCGTAATCGCAAAACTTGTGCCGGCAGGACACCAATCCGAGGACGACGGTTACATGAGCATGAATGGTCGAAAGGCGAAGATGGCATTGGTAGCATTACGCCCGGTCCCGGACTGCCCGGAGCCGCAGGATTTCGCGGGCGTCTCCTCGACGCAGGAATTTCCGCCGCCCCCGGAAGAGGCCGAACGTATCATCTCGACTCTTCTGCCGATGTAAGTACTTTTTACAAGCATCGGAATTTGGGCAGTTTTTAACGAAAAGCAAATCTTCCACATTTAAAAAAAAGAGTAATTTCACATCTCTTCGTGTTTTTTTTTTTTTTTGGACGCTGAATTAAATCGTTAAAAATTATAGATAATCTACTTAAAATCTTTTAATCACTTACTTAAACTTTAAACTTTATTTAAATTTATTCATTTCTCGGAAAAGTACAACTAATATAAATTTAATATTGAAATAAATTTAAAATAATATTTAATATGTATTTACCGCGTAAATCGCGCGAAAATACATAGCGGTTTCTTTAATAAAAATATCGCCTCGAGATATATTTCTTCGTTCAAAAGGACCGACAAGAGACCTTCGTTTCGTCGTTTATCGACTGGAAACAAATCAGTCGAAAGTCGAGTGTCAATCGATCGGTTTCGCCATCGGAGTCGCACGTTTTCATACACTTGACCTGGTGTATCTCATCTGTCAATATACGTATACAAGATTCTTGCCATAGAATTTCATTTGATTCTCGATTCGTGTCACCGGATTTGTCTACTATAAAATATACTATTCAATGCATAAACAATTTCAGATGATATTAAATAAAAAATCTTACAGTTTAATTAAGTTCCAGTTGAATTTATTTTCTCAAAATCTTAATCCGTAACATATAATTTCCAAAATATCATTTAATGAGATATAATTAATTTTTCAGACAATTATAGATAATTAAATAAAAAGAAAGTCGTACGGAATTCGTAAAAAATCTCTAATTGATATTTTTCTCCTATTTTGATCTGAATTTTAATATCTACTTTGATATTTTAAACAGATCATTTTTGGAACTGTTTAATTTATAATTTTGTCGAAAGCTTCTTTTTTGAATTTCTAATTATAAGTAAGAAACTACTTGTTTATGTCGAAGGTGCAGAATTAAAGAAGCTTAATTTCTATATAAATTAAATCTGTCTGAAAATTCTCTAGAATCTATACAAATGCAAGAAAATTGAGGTTGAAAATAGAAGGAAAATTTCGACTCGAGATCTGACATTAAAATTGCATGTCAGCGCGACGCTCTAAAGTAATATGAAAATTTACAAATTGCGTTTATAAGATTCGAGATATTCTTAGATGAGCGAAATCGTACCCGGAATAAATGTCGCTCTTTATCGAGAAGCTACAGATAATTTCGCTCACGTAACTGGCGGCGATAACTCGTGAAGATTTCTTCTCGAAGCGAAGAAGATTCGCGTTCATTTAAATTTCTTTCGGTGTCCTCTTCGAACACCTGCGAATCCTCTTCACGTTTCAAGGACGAGAAAACGGACTTCCGTTTCCGTAACGAGAATATCCTTCTTTTTTGTCGCGTGCGCGACGATCTCCCGAGCTTTCTCGTACTTTCGATTTTAATTCCTAGCGTAACTTTCATCAGAAACAGGCGTCATTCGAGCCATCATCGTCCTCAACTTTGTCCGGTATTATTTCAAACAAGATTGATCCTCCTCTCGCGACCAGAAGTTCCGTTTTCTCTTACATTTCCTCTTCCATATCGCACTTTGGCATAACTCGCGATTGCATTCTCTTCGGCGGTGCAAAGTGCACCGGAAGCGACGTCGGGCGAAGCTCGTTGCACTCGACGCGAGTTTCCCTTTGCAGGCGCTCGTTCCTCCGGAAAACTACCGCGTCGATTTCATCAACGGAGTACGTTCGGTTCTTGGTCGCGTACCTGGAAGACCCACTTCTGAGCGTTGCGAAAATTTTCCAGCCACTTGCTTCGCCGTAAACGAGCAAGCACCGCCGGTTTCTCGCCGTTTTTCCACCGGGTTGCATCGATAAAACGCACCTGCACTCGCTGGCAATCGCTGACGATTGCTCCTTAAAGCAGAATCGAGAAGAGAAAATGTTCTTGCTTTCAATCTCGATTATTATATTTGAACCTTACTTTCTATCCGTTATAATATATTAATTAATTTAATACGAAGCGTCTATTCTTTGGAAAATCAGCAAATTCTCATGGAAATTTTATTGAGACTCAGGGAATTTTTTAATGTTTTTAATATATATATATTTTATATACTCGAATCAAAATTTTTTCCAATTATAAATACGAAGAAAATAAAATAATCACTTGTATTACTATGGGTTAGAAATATGAGAAGTTTGATATAAAACACATTATCACCTTTGTCGAATTGAAATTAATTCTCGATTCACGATATTTATAGAGATTTTAGCTCAGACTATTGCCTGCAGGTTATTCGCAATTTCTCCGATTTACGGTTGACTTTCGAAGCCACAGATTGTTCTTGTTAGACGCGCAGGGTCCTTAAGCCGTCGACGGCGACGGCGTCCTCGTTGTACCTGTCGATCCTAATCACCGCGTTTCATGCCTATTACCTGTTCTATTCGCGAGAGAAACGTCTGCGAAGTGCATTCAAGCTCCGCCATCCTCTCGAAATGCGGACTCTCCTACTCGGAGAAACCTCTCCTCTCCGTAGAGGACGCTCGTCATTCCGACAAAACGTTTCTCTCTCTTCCCCGTCCTCGTCGCAGAAAATCAACGCGACTTTTCTCTTGCGAGTAAAGTCTCGACGGTAAACTTGTTTTGCGCGAAAGAGGCTTTTATTCTCTCTACTTTTCTTCTTTGTTTGCATCCGCGATGGAAAACACTCGAATTTTACACAACGTCCGAATATTTTTTTTCTCGCGATATCATTTTCTTTCTTTTTTTCGAAATAAATTGTCGTTCTTATCTCGCAATGTTTATAAATTAGCGAAGATTTAATTATCGCATTGCGAGGAACACACTCCTCCATCAAAACTCATTGTCAGGAAAATTCTTCGGCGATAATTTCGCCTGGGAATGACGTGTTACGCAAGAGGGTTAAATTGTGCAACCGAATCGCGATGTCGTCAAGACGGGTCATATTGCACACGATTGACTGCATACATTAAATGACACGATGGGGATCGCGTTTCCGCGTGGGGCATCATTTTCCTCGGCGTCTTCGCCAGGAAGGCGACGCGACGTTTATCGACTGGAAGCGAGCCGTCTAAACGGAAGTCGAGCGCCAATCGATCTAGTTCGCTCTTCAGCGTCGTCGACGTCGTTCTCGTCGTTCGCTCTTGTCTTGTTGCACGGTCAGCGATTGAGATGTCTCCCGCAAAAATCGCACGGCTCATCCCTTTGTGTCAAATTGCATATTTAAAAAAAATGTATTTCGATTTATCTTTGTATACCGATTTGCTTGAATTTTATTTCGATTGCGATATATTGAATTAAAATATTTTTGTACAAAAGGATTTTATATTTCCTTTTGTAAATTAAATTTCACATGAAACTGCTATTCTCTTTTAAATATTTTATTTTTATTTTGTTGCACAATATTATTTTATTAAATTCTGTAAATTTATTAATTAATTTTTCCTAAATCAATTTACGCAAATTTGCTTGTCAATACACAATCTATCAAAATATCGTAATCATAATATTTTAATTCTATTTTTTATGCATTTACATGATTGAAATGTCAGAATTGATGATTGATCTTGATGCTTGCTGAAGAAAAAAACAAAGAGATTGATTGGCCGACATAAAGCGAAATTTTGGCTAAATTTATTCCGCTATTTTCTATTCCTTACTTTTTTCATCGACTCGTTATTCGACCGCGGAGGCTGTTTGAATTCATGCGTTCCTCTTCGGCAACTTGGTAACTTTGGAAATATGCCGAAAGAAGGTTAATAGGATAAAAAACTTTACCCTCTTGGCGCAGACACACAGACTCTCCCTGATGACGTATTGTCATACGAGTTTTGCAAACGCTCGGCATTCCCGCGCTATCCGGAAACATCGCGAACTCCGCAAAGTCCTTTCATCGAGAGAGGATTTGTTCAGTTTAGCAAAGCAAGCGTTTGTTAAAGTCGCAGCATCGAGGAGACAACACATCGATAATCCGCGCTGAGGATTTCCGGCGATTCTCCCGGTGTACCCGATATTAAAAACAAATGTCGAGGGACCGACTAACTCTAAATAACGTCTCTAAATAACGTGCTCGGTTTAAATTACGGACAGCTTTACGAGAATTGCGCGCACCACAGCTAGAGATTCGATACAATACTGCAGCTCTATCCTATTTTCCTCTCGTTTGTCGGCCAGGGTTTCCCCGGGAAACTCCAAGAGAAACGTCGTGGGCCCGGAGCGGCGGAATAACGGCCGGCAACAGTGGATGGTGGAGGATAGTATGCGGCATGGAAACGCCGTTACCACGCAAACTACCCTCGTGAGTATCATCTTTCTCTCTCTCTTTCTCTCTTTCACTCTTTCCCTTTGATTGTCGCCGATAACTTGGTTTATTTACGACGCGTATTCCGCGGATCGGCGCCTGGACGTTCATAATTTCGCGACTTTCTCGTCTCGGTGCTCGTCGTAACGACGTCGATTTACGATGCCGATCGCGTAAAATCGAAGCATCGCATCGCGCCCGACATGACCGATCTCTGCAAACGATCGAGGATTCTCTCGCGAGATGCGCTTTCGGGATGGAACGATGAGAGACATCTCGGGGAGCTTCCAACGAACGGATCGTGATTTACAATGGGATTTTCCGCGTTTCTTTGGAGCAAGTTGAAATTGTTGCGATAAAACATCAAAGCGTCGATTGTAAAGGTATAAGAGGGAAAATTGTATACTTATCTTTGAAATAACGAAATCCCTTTTGCTGTTTACTTCAATGAATTCCTTTGTTAAAGATTAAGAAAGAAAAGATTGCTTTCCTCAGTAATTATGCAGATAATAAATTAACTAACTTTTTCGAAAAAATAAAACTTATTTTTCACTCAAATTTTTCAATGTACTTTTTTAAATAGATCTGAAACTGAAAGTTATATATTTGTATTATACAGGGTGTTCGGAAATTCAACCGACAAATTTTCAGAGATTGTCGAGGGTACCATAAGAATCATTTTTTGCAAATGAACCTGGAGTCGGAAACGTGTCATTATCGCTACGGCATACGGAGTGTTTGAAAGAGTCGGGACCTCGAAATATCAAAAAATAGAAGTTTTGCAAAAAATGGTTTCAAACAAAAGTTGTAAGGTGTAAAAGGGTCGAATGTCTGTAATAAAAAATAGCCCAAAATATCATACGTATCGGTCAGTTATAAAAGTAGATCCACCATCATTTATCACTTCTACCTTCATTTGCGGATAATAATACGATCGCTACAGTCGTCGACTTATCAGGAAAAATTTTATAACTTCAATAACTTCGAAACGGCTTACTTAAAATTGATAAAATTATTAGTGTTTTGAAAAGGCCTTGAGAAAGACTACAAGAATATGCAATAAAAAGTGGAGGGTTCCATTTCAAAAATTCAAGGCCTTGTCGTGATCTTGGCGACGCCATACAAGATCAAATACATGGCCAGTAAATAGATCTTTTTACATCCTACAACTTTTGTTTAAAACAATTTTTTGTAAAACTTCTATTTTTTGTGATACTTCGAAATCCCTACTCTTTCGAACACTCTGTATACCGTAGCGATGTAATGACACGTTTCCGATCTCAGGTTCATTTGCAAAAAAATGATTCTTCTGGTGCCTCCGATAATCTCTGAAAATTTGTCTGTTGAATTTCCGAACACCCTGTATACCTGCTTAATCATAGAAATATTTAATATTAAGCTCCAAAGAAACGAGAAAAGATCGGTTAATCTGTTTTTGACAAAAGACAACTTTAAATAATTTTCTATCGCGAATTCCCAATGAATTTCGACAGCCCAAGACACGTCATCAGCGGCCCTATGGTTGGGAGAACGGGACGGTGGAGTCGCTGCGACTGACCCAACTACCCAGTCCGCCCAGCAAATTCGCCAGTTTGCCGTACGATGGCAAGGTATCCTTCAATTGGATTCCACCGCGAACGAATCCGAGCGCGGTGGAGAAGCACCGGGAGGTGCGCCGCCGCTCCTCGGAGGATTGCCTGGACGACGCCGCGGACAATCGTCAGCAGCACGAGAGGGACAGTCCCGAGAGAGGAGATCGCGCGACGTCCCATCCGCTGAGGAAGTACTCGTCCCAGCAACGTCAGCAGAATCACGAGATCATGAAGTCGAGCAGCGTGGAGGATCGTCTGCTGATGAACAGGGGCTCGGACGCGAAGGACGCGTCGTCGTCGGCGACGCAGCGTCGGAGTCGCAACGACTCGGACTCGAGCGAGGGCCGGTTTTCGAGAAACTCCGAGTCCGAGAGCCGGTCGTCGATACCGCGCTCGAGCTCGGTCAGCGTCGAGCGTTTCTCGATGCGCGCCAACTGCGACTCGTCCGACTTCTCGCGCGCCAACTCCACGTCCAACGAGCGCTTCCACTCGGACTTCTCGATAGCGGTGGCGAGCGCGAGCTCCAACGATCACGTGTCCGCGCCGACCTCCGACCCGTTCTCCATAAGGAACCTCGACTTTGTCTCGTACTCGCGCGCGGACTCGTGCGAGCGCTTCTCGGCGCCGACGTCCGACCGCTGCTCCGAGGAGCGTTACTCCGACCTGTTCTCCACCCGTAATTCGGACTTCTCCGCCCGCAATTCGGCTGACTTTAGGACGCAGTCCGAGGAGGAGCGTTTCTCCGATGACTCTCTGGAGGAACTGCTGCCGCCACCGCCGCCCATCAGCAAGAGACACTCCATTGCGTGGGAGGTATCCTTGGAGGACGATCCCCTGTACGCTCCCGGGAGTACCAAAGTTGTCGGCAGAAGACGACGAAAGAGCAGCGACGTCTCGAGTAAGTGCTTCTCTATCTTGCTTGTTTTATTTTGAAAAAAAAAAAATATAAAGCGCTGAAATTTTTCATAATTATAAAATTACGTAGTTTAAGAAACATGCTTTTTCTAGATCTAATAAAGAGAGTAATTTCTTTTTAGTTTTTTTGTGCGGAATATAATTCCGGCAATTTTTATTATGTCACAATGTTTGAGAAAGTTGAAATTAAAGTTATAAGAAAGAATATTTTAATGATTTTATCAGATATTACAGCCGCGCCACATGACGTATTAAAAATTTTATTCTGTTCACAATTAAATAGTTTAAAATTTTCAATCTTTGACAGAAATTTATTGTAAAAATAGGAATTTAAAAAGATTTTTACGATTAAATTGCATCTATTGCGGGAATTGTAAATAAAATGATAGGATATAAATATGAATTGAACTTGTTCCAGGCGTAGGTTCCGCGTCGAAGCTGCGCGACTTTGACGATTGGCAGGATCCGCGGCTATCGACGACCGACGACGATTTGATTTCGCCGTATTCGGATTCGTCCACGAACGATCTCGATCAGATACGACCGCAGGAACTCACGAAGAATGGTACGTATGTCATAAGACGCGGCCGCAAAAAGGAACGCAAGGTTCTACCGAAAACACCGACCAAGACCAAGAGTCTGTCCTTCGAAAACGGTGAAGATGGCCGACTGTCGGATGTGAAACGATACTCGAGCACCTTCGACAACATCAAGAGTCTGCTGAAGGAGGGCAAGCTCGAGGGTCTGGACGAGCCGCCGCCGGAATTTGCAGCTTCGGTGCCGCCGCCAGATCTCATCCGAGTCGTATCGATGCCGGCAATCAACAACGATCCCAACAGTCGAGCCCAACTGGAGATTACCGTGGAAGAGGAGGAAACGTCCGACATCTCCGATAAGGACAAGGAGCGAGACAACATCGAGCTACCGCGACTGCCGCCCTCGCCGCTCGAGGAAGATCAAATGGATCGCTCGCGTCTGGACCGATCGAGAGATTGCAACATCGTGCCGACAGCGCCTAACCTGGACATCGGCATGTCGTCAGCGAATCCTGGCGAACCGCAGGTGAGGAAAAAACTCGGGGCCGCGGCGAGCGACGAGCGATTAGCCTCCAAGATTCCGGTCAATTTATTGATCGAGGATCAGATCGTGAAGAAGGCGCTCAAGGAGAACCGTCGGCAACTAGAAAAGGTGAGCGACGCAATCAAGGAGATCGAGAACGTGAGGAACAGCGAGTCATACAGCGAGAATAAGCGTTGGCGAAATGGCGATCTGAGGCAGAACAGCTCGAAGCGCAATAGCTTCGAGAACGAACCGCCGATATACGAGGGCCGGAAACCCGTTACGGTTGACGGCAGTCCCTTCGACGGTAGATCCCGCGGCAAGCAACAGCAGCAGCAACAGCAATACAGTTCCGACTCCGAAACGTCCAAAGCCAGCTCAGACGCGGACTTTGCCGATCGGAGAAAATTAAACGGCGTCGCCGACGTCGTCTATTCGTCTGGTAGACGACTGCGTCAGAATGGCATCGAGAGCCACAAGAACGATCAGAAGCAGATCGAGAACGTGATCGACGCCATCCTGGAGGACTCGAAGAATCCGGAGTTCCAGGTAGGTAGATGGGTCGCTGGGTCAGGAGAGGAATTTCGGTTTCGCGTCACCGCGTATTTGAATACTTCGTATTATTGTTATTCCACGTACGTCGCTCAAACACGAAGAGAGACATATGAAACGGAAATAAAGACTCCGCTCTTCCGGCGGAGAGCTACTAAGGTGTACCTACATGAAAAATGCAAGGCAGGAAATATATACGGCATAAACCGTGATAGTGGAGGAGGCGCCGAGCAGCTGAGACCGGAGCGCCCCGTATATAAATTGAGTTCTGTAATATAGGATTCCATTAGCGATGCCGCGCAACGGCACCGTATTTCTTATCATGAAACGCAGAAGTAACTAAAAGGTCGAATGCTCCCTTCTTTCTCACGCGAATCCGTTTTTACTAATTTTCACATTATAATTGGCTGGTAAAAGATTCATTCTTTATTACACACGATGTATATCGTAATTTCCAATTTCCGAGAAAAAAACCTGGACTTGGCAAGAATTTTTTTTATCCTGGAATATCAGGGAAGAATTTTATTGAAAGAAATTTTAAGAAGGAATATTTTGCTCTTTGAATTTTATTCTTGCAGGCGGTCAATGAACCGCCATTGATCAAGTCAGTACAGTTAGTAGTTATCAGAGATATGATAAATGCATGTCAATGTGTGACTTTTATTTTTTAACGTTATATATGATCCTGCTTTTATATATTGTGCAAAAATATGACTCCATAATTAATAAATCAATATTAAATAGGAAAAATTGTCTTCACCATACTTTATTTAACAGAAAAATATTTATTTTAAAATATTATATTTAGAGAATTATGAATTATATGCTTAAAAAAAATGTACTATAAATATATATATATTTATATTCAATGCTTCAGCAACCAAATATCATCTTTATTGTGATTTTCGGTAGTAAGAAAAATGACAATGTTATATAAGTGAAAACTCTCTCTCTTCTTGATCGTATAAGAAAAAGATATTAAAAAACACACACAATAAATGAAATTATTTTAAAAAGTTGCGTCTAGAAATTCTTTAATTTTGAAAGTAAAAATATATGGAAAGAATTTAAAAAATTCTCGGATCAAAAAAAAAGAATCAAAAAAGAGAATTTATATTATATAATACATTTAGTGACACAATCTTAGTTCGTTCAGTTCTGAAACATTTAAACTAATTATTCATGTAACGGCCGTAATTAATAATTTCGAATGAAGCAAGTGAATCGCGATTCTTCGAGGTATTCGCATTTCGATTAAAAATGTAAAGAATAACAAATAATCTTTGATCAGCTAAAGATACCCCTCGAGAGTAAGCGTGCGCTTGCCATGAATCAGCTATGAATTACCTTCGTTGATTCAATGCACGAGTCGATGAAAATATTCAACAAACTTGTTGAACAATCATCCAGCTGAATGGCTATTCATACGCGTATCGTCACGAGGGTCCTTCATCGATTAACTGATTCTGGGTCAAACTAGTTTCCATTGGAAATTTGCATTTGCAAGCTCTTTAGCTCGAAGCTTTTTGAAGTCGATCTTTCAAAATGTCCATCACACATCGATCAATACGCGATATCAATTATGAAATGGCATTATAATATTCATTCGAATAATTAATCTTTCAAATTCTTTTGACGGTTAAAGTTTGCAATGAAAGAGGAATCACAGGTACTTAGATGAATTTGAGATGTGAGCTCTCTAATCATAAATCGGCTTATTCTCATATCATAAAAGAAGTTTGAATCGCGTTATTACCTCGGCAGGTGAGCGTCGAAGTGATGGAGTTCCCACCGTTACCACCCTCGCCCGTCGAAGAGGCCGACGAGGAGAGCTGTTCGGACGTCGGTCAAGGTGCCATGATGACACCACCCAAGTCCAAGAGTCACAATCGGACTATGGAGTACAGGCCGAGGGTGCCGCCTCATCGTGTCCCGCCGGTCATCGACCCGAAGGAACAAGCTTCCTTGAACACCAGGTCCATGGACGCCGGCTACGCCAGAGGGAGACGCACACCGACCACCAGTAATTCCAGGCGAGAGGTAAGTTGATTTAAAATATTCGGTAATCGTTTTCAGTCATTTTTTTACGTTAATTTTCTTTTTAATATGCCATATATAAAATTTATTTGCATAAATATATATTTAATTTATAATTAAATTTATTTAATTTATAATTAATATTATATAAGTTGTATTTCCAAAACAATCGGGTGTCTTTTTAATAGTAGTTTGGCCTGGAAATTTGGAATTGATATTTCCTTAGCGAAAATATCAAGAGAGATCATTATTTTTTTCAGGTTTCCAATTTCTTTCATTCTTCCATTATGTTTGTATAACTGATGTAAACTTAAAATTCTATCAAAGTAAACTCCGTTTAAAATTAACTGAGGAATATAGTTTCGTTAGCTTTTCAACTCCACAAAGCTTAGTTTGCTAACATTCTTTCTTTTCAATCTTGGGTTTGTAACTCAAGAATTATCAATGCCTTAATTATTAATACCTTGATATTTTTGCTTAGGAAAAATCGCTCTAATTCGACCAGAGAATCTTTATTAAAAATTCGATGGTTTCAGAATATCCTGTATACGTAGAAAATAAATAAATTAAATAAATTTTTATTTAATATTATTAGTAAATATCGCGCGCGTTTATTTTATAACAGAAAATATTTATAAAGACATAATTCCTGTGATGAGATAGTATATATGAAAATACAAATAAATTCTAAAATGCTATCGAGAGAGCAGGAGTTTTGAGAGAAAAAACCACCGAGCTCCGAGAACATTGAGAATAGTTTCCGTGGTTAAACGTAGAGATAGAAGGAAAGAGCGAGAAAGGAGAAAGAGAAAAAAGAACGCAATAAACAAGCTGGCGATGTGCCAATTTCTCATATTACCGCAATAAAATAATACGATGTACTCTCGTTGTATACCGGCAGACTATCTCCATGTTAAGTGTAACATTCGGCATAAACTGCGTTCGGGATTGCGAATCGATGTCACGGAAAGACATTGCTCCAGAAAAATGTGCGCGTGTGTATATATATATACAAATTCATTTTGCATGTACGTCGCGAAACTTTGACAAGTATAAAAATTCAATCTCGAATGATCGAAATAAATAGATGCTAGATGTTAAATTTGATATTTCGAGTAGACTTGAATAACATAAAGTAGCGTGAAATTCGAAGAGAAGACAATGATTAATATCGATCATCATGATCGATAATCATGCATATACGCTGATTTTATTTGCGTCCTGCAATAATAAACGTATATAATTATTATATCGCGCGATTATTCATCTCATCATGTATATAAATACTTTCATCTATTTCATATTATTTAATTTAGCATATTTTATCAATAATTAATAATAATAATAATAATCATAATAATAATAAAATATATATTAAATAATAATAATAATAATATTATTATTATTATTATTATTATTATTATTATTAATGTTATTATTTGTCATATTTTAATTTTTTTTAAATTCATTTTTTCCCGCAAGAGGAAAAGTACGGAAACGCTTGAACAAGTAATATCGCAACGGTTTTTCTCAAAAGGAAAAAATAAAAAAAATTCGCTAAATCAATTTCACGAGGAAACTAAGGGATGACGTTACGTAAATAAAATCATGTATCTCCTCGAAACAATAACGTTGAATCTCCGCGAAACGATCTGCGTCTATGCTCGGTCCAGTCGAATCGATTCGCTTTGAGGATTCGTTCAGACGACATACTCGTATGTCTTTCTATCCTTGCTTGAAATGGACGAAGGAGGAAAAAAGAACTGTACATTGCTCATGGAAAAGCTGCATCAAAGGCAAGATGAACGAAGACGAGATAAGGGAAGACACGTATATAACGATCCTGAGGAAATAATGGTCTTTGCGAACGATTCGTTAATTTTCCTTAATTTTCTTTCATTCATTACACTTATTGTCATTCGCCAGCCACTGCAATTTTCGCGGCGGAAAACATTTTCACCAAAAGGAAAACTCTGCTTTCAGCGGAAAATGAGTTTTTATACAAGAGAGAAATTTGGTCTACAAAATTCTCTTCTTTTCCACGATAAATAGAAGGCGATCGCGAGGGATCGCACGTATCTGCGGTCGGATTATTTGCCGATGATGATACACGGGTCGTTACGCCTGCCAACGCCTTGACTTTATATAGATATCAATGTACGTCGGGAAAGACAATGAGATTCCCCCGATGAGATATCGCGCACCCTCCCGTAGCAGACGGCCCTTGGAAAAAGGTATGAGGGATATAAAAACGTAGAGAGAGAAAGAGAGAGAGAGGCATAGAAGCGTTCTTTCTGTCATTGTATGTATCGCGCCCGTATTGTCTCGTCCGGTGGACCGGCCAGGAAGCTGCGAGAGGATAAAAGGGCGGGATGGCCCGGGAGCGGCCGGGGGGAAAGACACAGAGCGAGAAAGGGACGCCGGTGAATGAGGGACCCAGGCGCGCGCGTGTCCCTACGATAAATAAAATGTCCACGTCTCTTTCTCTATGCACATTGTGCATAATGAAAAGTAACGACGAGCGTGATGCGAGGGCGGCGTACGTGGGGGTGCATCGTTTTTTCGAGGGACCGCATGCTTCGCTCGATACAGGACGTGTATTTCGGAATTGTCGGGATTAATCCAGGATTCTTTGTTTAGTTTCCAGCTAGTTTGTCGTTAATTGAAATATTTTAGATATTTTATTTTATTGTTGAATCACGTACAGTAATATAATAAATATATTGTACATTTTCTATCAAATATATACTGAAATTAATGTACTAATCTAATCTTTCTAAAATTAAAGAATTAATTAAAAAAAGTAAAAAATTAAAAAAAAAATAAATTGAAAATTTTAAAGTTAAAAAATTAATTTGAAAAATGAAATGATGAAATTACAGATCGAATATTTGAATAATTATATATATATATATATATATATATATATATATATATTATATATATATATATGTATATATATATATATATATATATATATATATATAAACCGAGCACATTCTTTGAATTTGCAACTAATATAATTTGTTTCAATTTGCTTAAAAAATTATCTGTGATATTTGTAGATGGAATTATATTTTGTTGTGTGTCTTCTCTTCCAAGTAAGATCAACGAGTCGCGAAATACAAACGGAACATAGTTGTCGCGAGAAAATAATCGCACATGCGTTTAGATTCGTTACATATTCAAATACACGTCAACCGCGAGAGAACGATATAGTTGAATCTCTTCTAAAATACTCCCGCGACGACATATCCCTCAAGCTGCGTTTTCCACCCTTTGACTTTAAATACATTTCATACAGATTTATTCCGTTTTCTCGCTGTGAGTTTTAAAATTCTTTCATTCCTGTGACCGCCCCACAATTTTTATTGCGAACGTTACCATGACATTTCGCATACTATCCGTTTGTTCTCCCTCTTCTTTTTTCTATTTGTACGTGTTGTAAATTCAGATCTCGATATATTTCGAAATAGAAGAAAGAAAAGGAAATATTCCTGTGATGAAAAAAAAATAAAAATGGGAAACGAATGAAAATTCTCGAATTTTTATACAAATACAAAATTTTTACACGATACAAAACATATATGCAATATCTAAAAATATTGAATTTTATCGCTGTGTAATAATTGCTAAATATGAAGGGTCAATTTACAGAATAAACGTTTTCAACCCGATGGAATTAAAGAATGTTCGTGTAATTGATGAAGAATCTCGAATTTATGAAAAATGAATCCGCCAAATTCTCAACTCGTTTCCCCGATACGTCATCGCGAAAATTTCTTCGCGACCGCCGAGTGCTCGATCATCGAAATGACGCATGTTCAGCGTTAAAATGAACCGTTTTATCGGTACAATAACCCGCGAGTTGCACCCAACTAGAGATTCAATGATGAACGATGAAAAATCCTTCCTTCTTGCCCGCTGATATGAAAATGTTAATACAAATAAAAACAAAAAGAGAATGTTATCAATAATAATTCAATGCACTAATTCACATTGAAGAGAAACACGTTTGCAACAAAACTATATTTTGTTACGTGAATAAAAATTCTATCGGCGTTGATCTCCATTGAAAGGAAAGATTTGTGCGACACACCACCCCTCGTAGGTAGTCGTTACTATTATGCACCCTTGGCTGGGGCCAGGAATCGGGATGAAAGCTTGACGTGGAAAAAAAAACGCGGGGGAAGAAAACGAAGCCGAGAGCGATACGAAGCTCGCTCGCATTGTGGCCGCAAATATTGGCAATTTTTTTCAACGATCCGTCCTTGAAACCGTCGATCGAGCGGAGCTTAAAATGAAAGCTCGAACAGGGGGAGCGCGTTTCTAACCGATCTCTGATATAGCTTCCGAATACAAAATCTCAATGTCGAGGACTTGGAGGAGGGCAAAAAAGGGATGGAGGGAGTCGACAAGGAAGGAGAGGGTCGTGTGTATCCTTATAATCCTGCCGTAGATAGAATTCAACCTGTGCACGAGCTATATCGCAAGACACATTTCGCAGAGCGCCTCTACAGGGTGTCCCCGAATTATTTCGTCTATTCTTTGTAAGCGAAGATCATATTTATCCCCTTAAATTCTCTTCCGCCGCGATAAACTTGAACCATTAAAAGAATGATGATCGCAATAGCTGATCCCTGTTTCTCTAAATTGATCCCAATTAAATTATACCCTTGGGCGGAATTTGAACTCGCGCGGCTTAATTTTCGAGAGATTCAAGTTTGAAAACTAAAGGAACTTAAAATTCCATTAAAGTATAAGATCAGCTTTTGAAGTTTTGAAGTTCGCCCCCTGAAAATCCAATGATGTGTTCGATGTGGAAAATTTAAAAGTTACGAAGAAATATAGATTTCCCCTCTCACGTTCTTTTTATATAGCGTTTCCATGGAATCTGACTTTGAAGAGAATGAACCGAATGGATCGATTATGCATAGATTCATCGACAAGGTCGAATTATTTCTGCATTATATCCCGTCGTGTATCGGAGGAAAGCGGATATCTTATGCAGCTTGAAAGGGATCCTCGTTCGAAAGAGATGAAAAGACGAAAGGAGGAAAACTGACTCGTCCTTCTCGTCGTCTTATCCCTTTCCTCCCCTCTCGCCTCGTTTTATTTCCTACGATCGAGTACACCCTTCAATCGCGTTATGAGAATCGAAGGACGTATTTCAAGAAAACGAGGACCTCCAAGGAGTCGATTGCTCTTCTATGAGAGGCAACGCGATTTCGCCGTTTTTTATTTATGCCGTTAAGGCACGAAATCCTCTGAATTTTAAATCCTAAATAAGTTTCGAATATTCTGAAGATAATACAATATCTCATCGATATTTTAATACAATTTTTCCTTCTTATACCATCGCGGATTATATTTTATCTCCCACCTACGAGATCATCAAGAAAATAAATAAGGTTGTTCAAAATCATATTATGTCGTTGCGATAAAATATTATAATCAAATTTTCACAGATTTAATATACTTACGACATAATAAAATATTTGTCTCTTAAGATCAACGTTCGTTATTTTCGCGTGTGATAATTTTACACGAGAGAAGAAGTGACCCATCGAACTTTTGTTACAAGATACATGCTTCTACAATATATCATTGCGTCAGCGAAACTTTGTTGCAATGAGTCACTTCGAATAATCAGACAAGTAACTTTGCCTGTGCTTCACTAGGGGAGTAGAGAAGAAACGACTCGGAGGACAGATTGCAACGCGGAAAGTTTTTTAGAGATAGAGAGCAAGAGAATATTGGCATCCGGCTTGCTTACTTTTATATTCAGATTTGTTTCTCCGTTCGGCTACGAAACGCAATTACCTTCGATCCGAATAATGAAACGAGGAAGGGGGTTAGCGAGTGAGGGAGGGAGATATTTTAAAATCGCTTGATTGATAAAGGACAGTCCCGGCGAGGCGAATAAATGATCCGAATTCATTTACTTCCTACGCGAACTGGCCGACCGTTCCTTTTCTCGACAGAAGTCGACGAATAAAAATAAACCCTCGTGCCGAGGAAGAGGTCTAGTCTTTCGACGCGATCTTACAGAATGAATGAATAAGTTTGTACTCTCCCTTGGCACTCTCCGAGATATTCCGCTCGTTTAATTGGAGCGAACGGTGAATGTGTACTTAATAAAGAAAAAAAAAGATCCGCGCGAGTAAGTTATTCCTTTCTGGTAGGTCTTACTCCTTCAATTTCAAAGTCTGCAGCATCTGTCTGCGAGAATCTAAAAGCTAGAGGGAAGATGGTGAGAATATTCTGTCAGTATGTATTTTCGAAATCAGTTTACTCTTCTTTATTGTACGCTACTTGCTTTCATATTCGATGTACCTTGAAACGTGCGGCCTGTCGGAAGTGTCTTGTCGAGGAAAAGTGTGCCGAAATCTTTCGCGGGATATGCGTTATGATAGCGTGACGTACTGTAACGCGATAACGGGAATACTTTGCTCACGCATATTGCGAATCGCATCCTCTCCTCCGGATTGACGGGGACTGCACCCTCTATTCGTGCGACAGGATGTAAACAAACGTCGACAGCGAGTTCTTGCAGGAACGAAGACGCAATTTATATGCCGTCAGTGTCGAGATTTTGTCCTGACGAGCGAGAAAAACGCTACTATATTACCGAGCGGACAAAGAAGGAAGTTTGTCGGGATTACAAAAGGGGCGAGGAAAACGGGGAGGAGAGGAAGAAAAAGATGTAGACGAGAAACTGTGAGGAGGGCAAACGAGGAAAGAACGGAAGGAGTTTGGCTGAACTGCGTAAAGTTTTCATTAGGGATATTTGCCTCCCTTTTTTCTCCTTTCCACGAGCTCTCGCTTCGTCGACGAATGAAGTCGACCATGGTAATTTTAATCTAACAACAGGCAGAGAATCCTGACGCGGGAGATCACCGGGATAATCGGATACAGGAGAGACTGATCAGCCGTAATACAGTTGCCTTTTATTTTCGTTCAACTGCTACCCTTATGATTAAGAATGATTAAGACCGCTTGTTTGACTTATACATACGATACTTTTCTCAAATAATCTGATGGATACCCTTTCAAGTTCAAAGAGCCGACTTTTCCCGGACAAAAATTTCAATCACATCGATCAATTTTTGATACGTTCAAGTTCAAGACAAATCAAATAAAAAATACTGTTGTCAATTTTATACATATTACATAGAAACGCATTATTGCTATATTAAATTGCCATTGTTTGGAAAGGAGGATTTCACGCGACAAGCTCGCGAAGTACGGCATATTCGGTTAATAATTATTGCCGCAATAAAAGTTGCGGCAAAGATTTCCTAGCCTCGTGCCGCGCCGACAATGCTCGAATGCGATAAAAATGATTTATGGCGCAATAATTATAATCTGCCTCGCCGCGGTGGTAGAATTGCATGGATCCTTATGAAGGGGCGTCCCTTTTTCGCGCTATCTCTCTTCTCCTGGAGCCGCATCAGCAATAAGCAAAGGTAGTTTTATCGAAACGCAAAACGGCCACGAATAGCATTTTCGGCGAATATTCGGGAAATTATCATTGCATCACGTAATTCGAACGCGCAGATATTAGCATCCATCAATCGTCCGTGTCACCTCCATCATGCCGGAAACACGTATAACATTCCATTGCCCTAGAAAAACGCCTACTATTAATATCACGTTTGTAAAAGAAAATTAAAATTTTAGATTTTAATTTTAATTTATTTTATCTACATTGCTATTATCGTTTTTATTGAGAGAAAAATCATCCTTTCTTTTCCAGATAAAGGAATAATTATACAAATATATTTATTATTCAACAATTCCATCATTTTGTTTCATTATAATTGTACAATTTTATATTTATATATTTTTATTAATTGTCTTACGCTGCAATTATTCTTGATCACGTCAATATCGCAATTATAATCTTAATATATCTCTCGATATTATCTCTCTTCATGACACTTTAATTCTGAGATTAATCTTATTGTTAGAATCCTATTCATCTAATATCATTTAATATATTTCCTTATTTAACGAATCGTTTTTTTTGTCCCAGGTACCTGTGGAACGAAGAACTCTGCCCACTGATTTACCGGGACCTTCCCGCCGACGACCGTTCACGAAGAGGCACTCGCCATCGGCAGAGGCGTGCTCCTCCGGAGGTAGCAGCGGGGGCGGCGGCGGCGGCGGAGGAGGAGGAGGCAGCGGCAGCGTCGCCACCAGCACCGGTTCCGGGATGCAGACGTCGTGCTCTTTACCGGAAACCCCAGTGTTTGCCAGAGGCAGCGACATCCCTAGAACACCTCAACACGCTGGCAACCCGACGCAGTCGAGGCGACAACCCGGCTGGTACGCACCCACCACGGCTACCGGGTGAGTAGTCCACCCACGTGTTATTTCGTTCTTTCCCTAATGATGAAAGAGAAAATGATTATACAATGATTTGGAGAGACCTTTTATGGGGAAAATTATCCATGTTACGTCACTTTCAGCTATCGACGGAATAATCCCGGCCTGGAGCAAGCCATAATCGGCACCGAGCTACTCCGGTTGGCAGGAGGCCCGAATCGCGGATGGTATCCCACGAGAAAGGCGAATCAACCGCGGCCGGCGTCGATCGAGCACCTTGAGCGACTCAATAACGCCTACGATGCGCGACTGCCCGGTACCGGGGACCAGAGGAAGCCGCTGACCCTGCCGACGAACATCACACCCAACAAATACTTCGGCCAAAGTAAGCACAGCTCCGCCTCCAGCACTCGCGAGGCGCTACGGAGGGTCACTAGCTTGCTCATCAAGAAAGGTAAGCGCCGGAGATTTGCGCTATTAGAAAAAAGTGAAAGCACCACGCCTTGAACGTGCGCGCGTGGCACAGACGTGGAGAGCACGACGCCATCGCTGACCCCTTGATTGAGAAATCATCGAATCCCGCTTGCGCCCTAGATGGGATTTCACGATTCCTTTCTTTATTTTTTTTTTCTTGACAATGCTATCACGAATGCCCAAATGCGCTTTTAACAGATCATACGAAAAAGAGGACGGATATCATAAGATTCTTATATTCAAGAATTTCTATATAGAATTATTTCTTGGCATTCGTAGTCATAGCACTGTCGAGGAATCGTACAACGTTGTTTGGGACGCAAAACGTGGACATGATTTCAGGTGTCGCAGTAAAAGAAGGATTTTGTAAGCGATAAATGACAATTCTAGATCAACATATATGAAAAGATCATCCATTTATTGTTTTTGTAATAATATGGTAAGATTATGCATTTGTTGTTTTTGTAATAATTCATGGAAACACTTTAAATTCAACAATGAACTATTTACTCATACTCAAAATTCTAAAAAACTCTAAAAAATAAATTTAAAAAGCATAACTTAAAGATAAATCTCTTTAGATTACAATATACTTGTATAAATTATAAGAACTTTTATATCTATATATACTTTGTATTTAAAAAATATCACTCTAAAACTTGCAAAGAAAAGATTTCGAAATTAATAATTTTCATATATTAATTAAAGTTAAAAATAAATGATAGTGTGCTTTATAATTTTATCAATATTATGTATTTCGACGTGTGAGATAATTAATAAAGTGTGATATAATTAATAAAAATATATATAAAATTGTACACAGTTATAATAAAACAAAATGATCGAATTGAATAATAATAAATATATTTGTATAAATATTCAACTAAAGAAAGAATAACTAAAGAAATAAAATATATCGCCAGTCGATTTTTATGCGATTGTCATTATCGCTTTGACAAATCACATCTACGTCGTGTTTTCCACAGATGTGACTATTTGAAGCTCGTAATCTTTGATAAGTAACTTGCGAAAGAGTTTTCTGACTTGTATCTTGTGTGACCTTTCGTGGCATTTGAGTGCCACCAATTTAATGCTATCTCTTTGACAATTTGGAATGCTCGCTTCTATAAGTTTCTTATTAGAGTACAGTTATAGAAAAGTAGTTTAGGTCGTTGACCCAATGTTTTATACTTGATATCTCAACTTTCCCACATAACATTGATAATGATTTTGCAGTGTTTGAGATAAAATTACATTATTCTATTTACTATTTCATTATCTAATCTTTGATTGAAGTATGTTAATCACATAATTTGAAAATTTTTTATTAATCCGAATATGTATAGTTTTTATTTTTTGATATTTTTAAATATAAAATATATAAATATATATATAAATATATATATAAATATATATATATAAATATATATATAAATATATATAAATATTACTTTTTTACATATCTTTCACATATGTTCCATTATTTGTTGCATGTAATATTTCTACAGCAACTCACGCATATGATCTTTATGATATTTTTATTTATTGGAAATGGTAATACAATAATACAATAATCAATATTAATCAATTTAGAGATTTCTTGTAATGTAGCAGTAAACACTGCATGTCTAATATGTAGTTGAATTAATGAATGGGGAATGCTGCGTATGGAATTTCACTATTAATAATTTATTCGATTTGATATCATATAGATTGCATTTATAAAATGTTTCCAAATATGCAAGTTTATATATCTTTGTAAAATGGAATTTTAAATTATCGTTTACAGAAAATTCAGTTACCGACTGTTGGTTCATATGAATCGTAGATAACTGTATAATCTACAAAAGATTGTATACCTTAAAATATCAATTTTATCGATATAAGATAATGTAATTTTAGCTGTGAATTTTGAAACGTACTCCTTGATCTCGATCATTCACGATTACTTGAAAGGCTCTATTAATTGAACACAAGCAGAAATTGAAAATTATTTCTGTGACGTACCATGCGGTATCTCACTGTAGAACATCTTGTCCCCAGAACTTTAGGGAATATCTATCGCAACAAATGACACTATTGCTTCTCCTTCCCCGAGAATAGCGCGATTTCCGTCGCACCACGTGTTCCGCGGGCGCCGTAGCTTGGCGCCGCCTGGCGGCGCCTCGCGGAGCGATTTTCCAGCTGAATGTGACCGACCTTGAAAGCTCGTCCGCGCGGTTAGAGCGACATGGCGGCAGGAAGAGGGGAAGAGAGAGAGACAAGGCCTCGGCCATGTTACACGTTGCGAGTCGTCCCGCGTCCTCCTCCTCCGACCAGTGACGTAACTGTCGAACCGGCACCTCTCCTCCATTTCTTCTTCGCCTAAGGTCTCGTTATTAAATCAGATTCTGACGCTTCTAGGAGATTGATAACTATCCGACATATAAAATTATTTATATAATCGTCTTAATTTTTATAGGACAATATCCCATTTCTTCTTCAGCATTGCAATTTTCCGACGTGTGAATGCGCGTCGTGTAACACGGCCCTCTCATCCTTGTTTCGGCGTGGACCACCGTAATAAGAAAAACAAACGTCAAAAGTTCTCCGCGCAAGAAAAGTCGGGGGGGGTCTCGCGGCTACCTGTGCCCGCGACGAAACTGGATTTCCTTTCGCGACCCGGGGTGGGGGGAAGGGAAGGGAAGGGCGCGCGCCGCATTGTGCGTGAGACATCCCTGCGCGCGGGCACCGCCACCGCCGCCGAGGTGCCTCCTTCGCACCCGAGGGTTCCCGTTATTGATTCGTCCGACGTAGGTAGGTTCATCCGCAAATGTTTCCGCGTTTCGGCCGGCCTGCGCGCGCGTCTCGCCTATACCTCGTCAAATTTTCAGATTCGCGCGCAAGTCTTGACTCCGAGAGAAGAGTCAAGTTGTGCGTCGAACGGAATTGAGGGGAGGAGAGGAAGAATGAAATGATTTTAAATAAAAATCAATAAGAAGAAAGCATCGTTTCTTCCCCTGCGCCCCACCTGTGGCTCTTATTATGCCAATTTTGATTTAATTTTTATTTTAAATTTTGTTTGATTTGCAGAAACACACACCTCGAGACAAAGTAATGTAACTGGTTTTATTTTAATGCCCCTTAAGTTGTATGATGATTAAGAAGAAGGAGAGATTTAGAAAAAACGAAATGGATGATGAAGCTTTTAATTTCTGATTTTTTATTTCACATACGAGTTCTTGGATTCTCTCTGCTGGTCGACGCGATACGCGACCGGACTCCTCTCCCTCCCGGCGTGTATCGACATCGCGCTCTATAAATAACCGTCGGCGATAATGCGGCGATTTAATATACTCGGGACATTGTGTCGCGCAATCTTTTTTGGCGATACCTTCTATAGAGTTATTCGCGACGGGCTCCTTGGCTTTCTGCGTGCGTGCGAACTCGTTGAGATGTTTGCTCAGCAAGTTGTTAGATAACAATATCTCTCTCGCGTGAAAAACAAACGAATCAAGTAAATCCGACGATTCGACATTCAGCATATAAATATCCAGAGTATTCGGAATACCTGGGTAAAACGAAATCGATAACGAGTAATCGGATATATGTACGTGACAAAACATCGTTTCTCAAAGATGATAAGAGCATTACACTCTCACGATATCACTATCACAAGAGTAAACTGTCATCAATTTTCTGAGAATAAAAATTAATTTCGAATTTCATCTCGATCCTTCATAAAGATCGAAAAATTTCGAAATTACGTTTTAAAAATTTCTGATTCACTCGTCTTAATTTATCTCTCTGTTGTCAAGTTGATTGGTCCTTTTGCGAGAACGTTTAGATTTGCTAGGATATTTCAACCATGTTGAATCGCTCGTAGATTCAAGGAGAATGACCCTGGCCGATAAGTTTCAGGCGTATGTGTGCGTGTTGAATGCGTGATTCGAGCATGCAGATTCGTCTGGCTCTCCGGTGAATAATATTATGCGAATTCGCACGTCAGTCAAGGACACGAAGATCCGATTCAAGGCGGATGACACACGGGTTGAATATCGATCGCGGACCAACACGAATCAACCGTGCAATTAAAAAAGACGTCGCGATTCTCTCGTTTCCCGAATTTTCGAGCTCATTATTTATCGATGGATTTAAATTAAATCTTGGAAAATTGAATTTTTTTCCGCAAAGCCTAAAATTTTCTCTCGACATTTAGGCTCAATCGGTGATGGAAAAAAGAATCGTAATTTCCGCAAAAATTAGAATCCAAAAAAAACCGCTGTTTTTCAAAACTTTGCAAGAATAGCTGTTAGAAATAACTCAAAATCCAGAGTCATGATTTATTTTCATTACAAGATATTTCGAAATTCGTGTATCTTAACCAATTTGATCGAAACGTTACTTCATATCGATGCTTCCTGAGATACGTGGTAACCCAGGTAACAAGGAAACCCAGGGATTCCGGTCACGCGGTCCATTTTTTTCTTTCCCTTTTTTTGAAACGCCTTTGCAGTAGTTGCGGGGAATGACCATCCGAGAGGGGGATGTTTTCCGATCGGTTAGTAGGTGGTGGATGTTGGCGGATAAACGCGGGGGTGCGAGCGGCCGAGGGGGCGCGAGCATCCCTCTCGTCAAGAAGGGGTGGTAGTAGCAGTGGTGGTGGTGGTTGGGTGGCAATCGTTACTCCCGTCTGCTGGCCTGTCTACCAACCCCGCGGGCGAGCGAATGCCGGTATCACGGTCGAGCATTCACCGACCTCGAGGACGACGACGATGACTTTGCGTGTCGAATACGGCTTTTCTAATTATCTAATGGAATCTTCGGAATCGAAATGTAAAAGCGACATTTTTTTAAATTTCAAGTGCTCCAATTAGTCTCGTTTCTCTCCTGTTTCCACGGATCGTTGAACAGAATTGGAATTTTTTATCGTATTTTTAATCGCTCGCTTTCACATTTAGAATAAAGAAACATGTATAATGTAATTTTTGGTTTCTCCTT